GAATAAACAGTTAACACAACTAATTGTGCCTTAGAGTGTTTTTTGCAATTGGTTCATAAGTCAAGTCTCACAGGTGGCTTTACAACTTGACCGGATCAGGTGATGTATGGTTCATTGCAAGGATCCTGGGTCTGTGGGTAGGCTGTGGGTTTCTGGTTAAGCATCGCTTCTGATTCGGTGTCTTCAATACTTTGGTGACCTTTCGAAGTGGTTGTGGATGTTTCTGGTTTGTCACCTTGTTCCCCAGGATTTTCTCTTGCGCATAGGGATCTTGTTGTCAATAAGTGACCTCTGTTCCTACGATACTCATTTCCATTGCTGGTACGCACAGTGTAAGACCTCGGGGTTCTATGTTGGCCCAGAACGGTGGCAGGCTTCCAATTTCCTGACTTGGTTTGAACATGATCTTGTTCACCGCTTGCAAGGGGTTTCAGCTCTCTAGCACCCTGATTATAGTAATGCCTTTGAGTGGCCTGTTTTTGCTCCATTCTCTCTCTGACAAGATCAGGATGGACAATGCTTGGTCTGAGGTGGTTGCTCGTGGTGGGGAGTATAGAGCACAGATTTCTGCTCATCAAGAGTTGGACTGGTGTAGTTAATGCATCTAATGGGGCATTTCTGTATTCCAATAGACTCAGGTATGGATCTCTTTTCTCCAACTTGGCCTTCTTGAGGAGCTGTTCTGCAGTGTGGATGGCCTTCTCGGCCAGACCATTTGATTGAGGGTATGTGGGTCTGCTTGTGACGTGGCTGAAATCCCACTCACTGGCGAACCGTGCAAATTCCTGTGCGGAAAATTGGGGGCCGTTGTCGGACACCACTTTCTCAGGGATCCCGTGTCATGCGAAGATGGCTTTCATCTTGTTGATTACTGCTGAGCTAGTCATGGTGGGCATCCTTTCTGGGCTTCTGTCGTCTGGCCACCCCTGTTTGATGATTGCAATTAACCGTTGCATGTCAGGGTCAGATGCTGTACTAGCTTGTAGGTCTGACATCTTTTGGTCGGAGACTGGTAGGTTTGCCACAACTAGATGGACTTGAGCATTGAAAGCCTCATGTGTGTGATCGGTTTCTTTAAGGTACAGACATGACAATGTGTCAGCTACCAGAATTTCTTTACCTGGCTTGTGGCAAACAGTTAAATCATATTTCTGAAGGCGTAGCATCATTCTTTGCAGGCAGGCTGGGGCTGCAGAAAGGGGTTTCCTCAGAATGGCCTCTAGGGGCTTGTGATCTGTGGTTACTACAACATATCTGCCATAAATGTATTGATGGAAGCGCTCAGTGCTGAATACTATTGCATACATCTCCTTTTCCATTTGAGCATAGTCCTGTTCTGTGGGACTTAGGGACTTTGATGCGTAAGCAACTGGCTTTCCCTCCTGCAAGAGCACAGCAC